AAGCCACCCCTGTAGCCCCCCCACTACCAAAGCCTTGCCACGGAAACCCAATACAAATTAATACCTTGCTATAACATAAATTACTGAATAATGTAATAATAATTAGTATATATTTCTATACAAGAACACTTTGAAACCATATTCTCAGAAACACTAGTGTTACCTTTAGACAAAAGCTAAATCACAAAAGCACCTTTTGCTTACCAAGATTATAAAGTGCTTCAGTGCATGAGGAATCATTCCTGAGAGCTTCCTTATAAAACTCAGCTGCTTTTTCATAGTCTCCGTTTGCAAAAACAGTATTTCCTTTGTTAGTTAGAGCTGCTGGATTGTACCTATCAGAATTTACAGCTAAATCTGCATAGTTAGTTGCTTGTCCCAATTCATTCTCCTACAGGAACAAAACAAACATTGTATTAGTCATTTGTCGGTCAGTTTTCTTGCAGCTGTGCCTTCTTACAGTTCATACAGTTTCAAAAGATTGAGGATGAAAAAATAATACATTCTTTAGTCCTATGCATTTGCATAAGGCAGATCATCTTGATCAAGTTTCAGAGAGCTTAACACCTGAGACGTGTTTTGCCACTCTGTCCCATTCTGTCTAGAAGTTTTCTTTGTTGCAACAAAAGCAGTATTTCTTTAAAAAACAAAACCAAATCCCCATACCCTACAAACTTCATGCACAAAACACACCTGCCTAAGCTACATACTTCACATGTTCCTGAAGTTCAGCCAGGGTCTTCAGGACCCAAGTTTTAAATGCAGCTGCTGAGCTTCTGCACAAATCACATTGCAGGCATACTTCTGTGGCCTGGGGCTCAAACTCATTCTTCCTCTCAGCAACAGGATACAAAGGACATGCTCCAAACTTCAACTACAGCCAAGAATGGAAGTTCCAGAACAACTCCTCTAACATGCAGTTTCTTGTTGTTTATAGAGATTATTTAGACAGACACAAAAATTGCTACAAAGATACAGAAGTTGCTACATAAACTGCAGTTCTTAACTGGTTTTGTTGAAGCAAACACTTACCAAATAATAAAGGAATGAAAGGTTTGTTGCAGCTGCACTCTTTACTCTGCTATCCTTTTTTTCAAACATTTTTAAAGTCTCCAGTGCCTAGGAGTAATTTGGAAACAGCTTACTTCCCACTGAAGCAAACATACCAAAATTCTTTCAGAAAGCATCAATAAACTCTACAGTAACAAACAGCTAAAATTATCAACTCATACTCACAAGCATGATAATTACTAGAGCTTGTAACACATGCTTGTAAGCATGTACACACAGAAGTATATCTATATTATACATAATATCAATCTTGGTCACAAAATCTCAATAGTATTGGCTATTTAGTACTTCTTCGAAATTTAGGTTAGATATGGCTACCTTGAACTACACAGATATCTGATAGTTCTATACATACAAAACACAAGTATATATTATTTGCTTTTAATGTAGTCAACTAATTAAAACTCTCATACATATTTTTCCAGTTAAGTGAACACAAAAGGATTGACATTAAAACTCTTACTAAAAAGCTAAAAAAGTACACACTATATTAAAAAAATATGCAAGACTGGGATTGCATTTCAACTTGCACTTGTTTTGTGTAATAAGACGACAACACCGGTCCAGGTTTAGGAAGTACTCAAACATGAAGACTGAGGCTAAAAATGTTTTACATAAAAACTAAATTTCATAAACTTCAAAAGAAAGAAGTTTATGGACAAAAAGTAAACAAGCTTATAGCTAATAAACTATCAAAGAAACTTTGAAATAAAAGGCAGGGTTTTTTTTTTTCCATTGACTATGTGATAGCGTTTGTAACTGCAGACTAAATTATTAAAAAAATCTGGCTTCTTTACACTAAATATTTATATTAACTACACAAACTGTTAGAATATCACAGTGAGCCCAGTTCTGTCATCTATTACAACACAGATGTGGCAACCTCAATTTAGCCATCAACATTAGCAATTCAAAAGTTTCCTTCTTCCTTTACATGAAACCTATAAGCTGCTGTTTACATATCAAAGTGAAGGCATGATACTGTATGTGGAATGCCAAAACAAACGTGAAGGAAACAAGTTTTAATTGACTGTCATACATACTTTTTTTAGTTACTTTACACAAAAAACATGACTGTACTAATGACGTGTAAATGACAAAGTATATACAGCTAGATGTAGTTCATTGATTTAGTCAACTACATTCCACCCAAGAACTATGAACTAGTAAAGATCATAACATTCTCGTAATAATAGAAAATCCTCTAAAGAAATACACCAATTTCAATCAAGAAAAGCATTTCAAAAGTTAGGATTTAGATTTTGTGGTCTCTGAAATGTAAGACTTTAACTATGATAATTTTAAAGTTTTATATATATTTGTGACTTTCTCCAAAAACGAAATGGTCCCAAATACTTACAGATGTAACACTACTGTATCTGGTGTACTCTACTCTTAAGCAAAGACTTGCTTCTTCAAGTAAAAGAAGTGCATTACTTAAAATGGAATTCATTTTTAGTGAACTTAGAGCTATATAGTTCAAAGGCACTTTCTGAAAATTCATTTCCCATTGTAGCTGATTTGTTTACCTTTGTTTTTACTGCTAAATAGCACCTTTGATGATAAAAATTAGAGTGGAAGTAATCTCTTCTTCATGTATAATGAAAAGTTCATATGACTCTGAACTCTATTGACTTACTGGTAAATTATGTTGCAAGTCTCTTGAACCATTTCAGCAATTATGAGCCCTAGGATGAAAATCCATAGCAATACTCCTTTTGTCCTTGCAAAATAGAAATGCTCTCACTGTATCATCAGCTAAATTTATATATTTCTAAATAACTTCTAACTTTTTAATACAAACAATAATGATTACTTAGATTCAACAATCAAAATACAGATCGTCCAAATTATTCTTTGTGACATGTTTCCAATGTACCTTATTTGCTTACAGAAGTTAAACTTCAAAGCAGGCTCTGCCAGAGATGTTAAGGAGTTGCATGGCTAACCTGCAGAATTATGTTTTTAAATCCATTTTCAAAGTTTTTCTTTTAAATAAAGAAAATATTCAAAATATCTAATACACAAAACCCCTTACTAGGAAAATACAATCTAGAGATATTATGGTAATTTCCCCCCGAATTTTTTTTTTTTTTTTTTTTTTGCTAGGACTGTTTTAACATAACATATTCATTATGATGAGCACATAGTTAAGCCCATTATTCAGTTCTTTTTTGAAACACAATAAAACTTTCAGCCTCAAAACTGAATATTTCAAAAAGTTTCCATTCTTGTTCTTCAGCCAAAGGTGTGTTGAGCAGGTGGTGAGTTAGTAAGTATATGAACAACAGACAGACAGGATAAATATAAGTGGCAGCTGCAGTTTTATTAGAACAAAAAAAAACCCCAACTCTCTGCAATCACCATTCTGCAGTCCCACGCTACCATTAAGTAGTTCCAGTGCAGGTTAAAGGTCTTCTATCACATAATCAAAATAAAAAGAGCATCTTCTCCACTTACTCCTAACTTCCAACACCCTGCCCTCTCCGTCCATTGGAGTACTCCACAGAAACATCACCAACAATCTCTGTATCTCATTTTACCTCTGAGAATTTTTTTTTTTTTAACCTATACTGGATACTAACTGGAAATCGCAAAAAATTACCATCAAAATAGTAAATTCTTGAGATCATATGACTGTTTACCTACCTGTAACTCTCTCACCCTCCAAAAGCTATCATCAATAAAGCTACTAGATTTACTCAAAATTTTCCAAACTCTCAAGCTGCTTCCTGATCTCAGAAAAGCTATCAAGACAGACATGCAGTATCTACAGGGAAGGAGAAGAGGACAGGACAGACAGGAGGTGCAAGAGCTACTCAGGGAACCAGAAGAGCTTAAATACGAGAAGGAAAAGTGGGCTAGAGTTAAGTATGTGGCCTATGTGCATCCCTCCAAGCTATGGGAATATGAAGGACCTTAGAAGATGACAGAGGTATTCAGCTTCAGCTGTAATTTTGCTGTATATGATCTCTAATACTTCTTGCCACTCGTGCAAACACGGGGGTTGCTATATTCCTTCTTATTTATTCAGCATTCCTATCACTGAATGTACCGAACAGTGTATGTTAGAAGGAAATTGAGCAAATCCTGTCAGCTATCTGTTTCTTTTTGTTCAGATGAAGCTGTTTTCCAACTGCTCACTTTCCAAACCAAGGCTTTTTTCCACAGGCAAAGAAAAGATCACATGGCAATTTTGACAAAAACCTGGTATTATAAATTGTCCCACAGCCTATAAAAAATTGATTAAGAGCAAAAAACCTGCATTTGTCTTAAAATAAAACATAATAAGAAAGCTGCACATTCACTTAGATAACACCAAAAACTTAAACGTGGTTAGGTTGTGGTATTAATTTATACACCTACATTGGCAATTTATATGCATAGAAAAGGAAAGCTACAGTTAACAGCCTGCTGTACTTATTAGCAAGAGATTGGTGACGATTTTTACCATGAAGGCAGTTCAGCGTAAAATTCATTGGCAGAAATATGTCTAACTAGTGATTGGATGGCCAGCTGCAGAAAGAGATCTTACCTACATAAACACACATAAATAACTTCAACATAGCCAAAAGTTACCTCACATGCATATTTAAAAATACAACAAGACAATGAAAAGGGAACATGTAATAATATGCATGATAAAAACCATAAAATCACAAAGATTTTGTTAGATCTATCTTCTGAACTTCTGCCAGTTAATGAATTTTGAGCAATGAGCTATACTTTTACTTGGAAGTACCAAAACTGTATCTTTTCTACGACCTTCCTCATTTGCTAATATGCATTGTGGTTTAAACTGCTGTCTTTTCAGTAATGGTGACTCATCCAAGCCCTCTGTGCCCTCCAGGGGGGCAATATTTTATAAAAGATGCAGAACTGTCCAAGTTCCTGAGGAGATGCTTAATTTAATTCCAGTTTATATTTGAATGGAAGGACAGGAGGGCTGACTAAAGTTCAAGGTCAGATTATAGTATTTTAGGGAATGCTGTAGTACATAGGGAACAGTGAGAATACCATAACATAAACAATAATGATACATACGAAGTGCATCTGCATATATTTGGTACTATAGTCAACCTAACAGAGAAAGATTCAGCTCATACTAATGGAAACACCTCCACATTAATTAGCACATGGCTTCTAGGCTTTATTGACTCTACTGACTACAGTTCCATTAACTGTAATGACAGCTTGGACACCCAGGGAAGATAACTAAAGTTAGGTGTCTTAATTTTGTGACCTGGTTTCAGCTGGAATAGAGTTAACGTTCTTCCTAGTAGCTGGCATAGTGCTGTGTTTTGGATTTAGTAGGAGAAGAATGTTGATAACACACTAATGTTTTAGTTGTTGCCAAGTACTGCTTATGCTAGTCAACGACTTTTCGGCTTCCCATGCTCTGCCAGGTACACAAGAAACTGGGAGGGGGCACAGCCACAATAGTTGATCCAAACTGCCCAAAGGGCTATTCCATACCATGTGACGTCATGCTCAGTATAGAAACTGGGGAAAGTTGGCCGGGGAGCAGCGATCGCTGCTCGGGAACTGTCTGGGTATTGGTCGGCGGGTGGTGAGCAATTGTATTGTGCATCACTTGCTTTGTATATTATTATCATTATTATATTGTTATTATTATCATTACCATATTACTTTATTTCAATTATTAAACTGTTTTTATCTGAACCCAGGAATTTTTCTCACTTACTCCTCTGATTCTCTCCCCCATCCCATCGGGGTAGGGGGAGTGAACAAGCAGCTGCGTGGTGTTAGTTGCTGGGTGGGGCTAAACCACGACATTTTGAAGTGAACTGCATTCACTCTAACTTCTGTAGCAGAAATTTCATTTAGATAAAACTCATCTCTTATCAGTGTTTTTATAAAGGTATTTTACTGAGCAGCATCAATATAATTATAATGCTTGCATAAATAATTCTTTCCCTTGCTGAAAAATATGCTGTGATTAAGAAAGGTATCTTTGCCAATACAGTATTAAAAAGTAGTAATGTGAAAAGTTACTATACCTGGTTAAAATCCTGCTGCCTTAAGTAAGTAGTGGCTTTATTTATTTCCAGGTCATTGGCTAACTCTACATAGTTGGAAGCTTTTACTACCTCAACACACCTGCAACAAAAAGAAAGCCATAAAGGTAAACAAAATGCATCTGTGCAAATGCCAGTTATATACTTCTGCAGCTAATTTGCTTTCCAAAATGAGCTGTTCTTAGCTCTTCTTACTTTACAGAGGCAAAGAGCACTTTAATTAAAAATATTTGAAAAAACATTTTATTCCCATAACCTACTTTAATACTATCTCTGCTCTCATTTTTTTCAGTCAGCTGCCTAATTACCAGGTTATTTTCCATCACTGAGTGATACTTGACATCAGATATTGACAAAGATCATTTTTCAAACCATTTTCTTTGGATACGTTCTATCAGCTGATTTTTTCAAACCTGATCTCCTGTTGCATATACTACCAAACCCATAAACCAGCTTAATGAACAAAGCCAGAGACTGCAGATTGTGTCCCTGATCTACATAATAATAAAGTCATAATAATAAACCTCTTCCTGATCGTACCTCAGTTACTTTTGGCTTAGGGTCTTCTGCAAAATGAGGGCAAAACAGAACACACCAGACAGTTCAGATGTTCATTCACAGACACCGTTTTCCAGGGTTTGATGGGATGTACTTTAAAATTACCTAATCATTTGAAGCAAGACCTTTATTTATTCTATGCATATACTGTTCTCTCAAACTGTTTGGAATTAAGCACACTAAATGAACAACTTTGTGGTATGCTTCTTTAATTCCTTTTTTTTTTTTTTTTTTAAGTGGTGCAAAGCCTTTTTTTCTTCTAATTGTTGGCTAGTTTGCCAACAAAACTTTTATTCAACAAACTGCCTGCTGCTATAACTGGGTTGGTACATGGACAGTCTCTATACAAAGTATACAAATGCCTTTTGATGTTGGAGGAAAAATTATATTTAAAAAAAGCAATTTCTGCAAAGACATCTGTTATAAAAGAAAGGTGAAAAACCAGTTTTCAACTGCTACTGTTAACATCTTTTAATGATAAAATGCAATGAGATCTAACTATCCAACTGTTCCTTATGGAATATGACAGAATAGTCCCAAGACTATGTCGCATTTTAATGAAGAAGTTAAGAAATCTGAAGATTATTTGTCCCCATTTTATTTCTGTAAATAAAATTAATCTCATTAAAAGCACATTTAATACTCAAAGGTTTCATAACAAAGTGTAGTATTTGGAAATCCAAGCTCGAACTGCTGATTAAACTTTTCACTGGGCTTGAATACCTCAGCCTAGAATAATAGAGAGTAAATCTGTCCTGATATACACAAAACAATCCCACACATCTCACAAGAAGTTGTTTAATTAGCCAGAACAAATACAAAAGAGTGTTTTACTCCATGACAAGTATTTTGTAAATAGCACTAAAGAAACTGAACATCTGACAACCTTTTCCAGTTTTCTTGAACAAAAACACAAGATACAGAGCAAACAAATCTGACTTACTCACACTAACAAGTTATAAAGCAGCAAACTAATTGTCATAAGACATACTGTTTAAGTTCTAGTAAGTCAGAATGGCAAAAGTAGGGAAATTATAATGATTATTAAACCATCAAACACCACCTTGTGGACTCTAGCAGACTAACCATGTCTGTGTGACAGATTATTTCCTGTTAGTATAAACAGCTTTATTAGTAAATTATAATTTTAGAACCTGCAAAACTTGAAAACAATCCTAACTGGCCAAAAAGAACAGGTAAAGGAAAGTTCTCTTTTCCCATCAAACTTCCTTCACTTCCCAAACACTGAACATAATCTGTAAGTAATGTTGCAGCTGCAGATACACAATAGTTATTTGCGTACATGTTATTTTCCAATAAAGTTACTAAAAATACTAAAAAATATCAAAGTCCTTACAATAGAAAACTAAAAACTAGTTAAAAATACATCTTGAAAAGTTACACGAATAATTTTTAAACTGTCCTTATAGGAAGTGTGCCTATTTTATTTCGTTTTAAAGAGAAGAGTATTCTGCTGTAGAAAATACCACAGAAAGCAAAAGCTAAACTGTAAATTGAAAAATAAAATGGATACAAAAAACAAAATGGTAAACTGTATACACTTGTATAAATGTTTAAGAAACAGTAGATTAAGTTTACATTTATAAACATTAAGTTTATAAATGAAATGCAAATAAACCTTTCTAATAATATTTAGATTCTAGTGGTTAATATAATGACTCTATGGAGTAATAAAAGCTTCTTAGGCACCCCAAGTCTTCATTATGCTATCTTCAAACTTACAGTAAAGAGTAGCAATCATTGCCTTCTGTATAGCATTTATCTATTGAGACTTCTGAAAGTTTTTGAATTTTCAAATTCAAGTGAAATTTAAGAAGCTGTTTTTGTGCTAATACAGAACAGTTCAAAATGTATAATTAACAGTTGAGTTTCAATGATACAATGAAATGAATTTTTAACACAGAATAGTCTCTAATGCTTTTTTTTGTTCTTCTCCAGAGCATTACGGAGGCAAACTGAAAATAGCCTGGACGCTATGTTTGTGATGTGCAACAAACTATGTTTCCAAGGCTGTTTCATGTTTGTGAATCTGGTTTCATAACCGGCACGAGAGACTGGCGTATAGTTTAGACAAAAAGAAGCCCCGCTTGACTCTTACCAGTCATAGCCCACTGCAAAAGATGTCTCAATTACTGGTGCAATGAGTTTAGCAGCTGTCATGATGTATTCCTCTGCCATGGATTTCCTAACAAAAAAAAAAAAAAAAAAAAAAAAAAAAAAAAAACGGACTAAACATCCAGGGAAAAAAACAAAAACGGGGGTACCGTTTCAAAAACACGTATACAAAAAATAACCAAATCTTGTTCTTGCTTCTTCCTGCACTCAGGACAGTCTTAGAAGTCAATCTAACCAGTCCCCTGCTACTGCTACTGCCCTGTATCTTGATAAAGCTCTGTTTTTTCTGTTTTTCCTTCACTGCACACTCTAGTTGTATCTTTTAAAAAACCCACTGCTGCAAATGTTAAGCAGTGTAACCTGTAGCATTTGGGGTAGATACTCTACTTCAGTGCAGTACACTGAACTGAGTGATCCAACCAGTTCTTCCAAGTGTGTTCTTTCCTAAGAATTATGAGGGCACTTTTATAGAGCTGTGGACATGTGAGAAGACTGGTAACACTTTCAGGAGCTAAAATCCATAGCACCACAGTCAAGAAAGAACAGACTCCACCACTACCTCTCACGTTCAATCTGTCTTAAACTGTCGTTTTTAATGGCTTCAATCAGTAGATTCGTATGTGGATCATCCTGGAGGGGGACAAAACAACCGCAAATTATGCCAGTATACATGCATTTTAATTATTTTATAATATTTTATAATATTTTATAGACAGCATGACTGTAAACATAAATTGATGCAAATTACATAATGTCAGTTATTTACTCTTCACACTTCAAAAAGCTAGCTTCAGTTTAAAGTAGTTTTCTAACCACAAAATCTGCAATTTGGCATTACAACTATTTTAATCCTGTTTTTCTGCTCACGTATGTGGTCATAGCTCACATTAGGGTTGTTAATAGGTGTAGTTAATGTAATTTGTGTCAGACTGGGAAGGCTGCAAATCACAGTGAAAATAGTCACATGCTTAAAAATAAGAGCATGCTTAAGCATTTGTTGAACTGCAATGGTATTCAGCAGATGAGGACTTGTGCTACCTTCTCATTACAGTAACTCACATGATCCTCTTGTGGTTTCTATCACACATCTCCGTTCATTCTACAAGAACTAATGCAGGTATGCTGGGCAGCCACCCCTTCCTCATTTATTTGGGACAGATCATAGATTTATACAAAATAAAGGCCAGAAGAAAACTCTGTGATCTTTTCTCTGACCTCCTCATAACAAAACATAGAACTTGGAATGTCTGTTAAAACTGTAGTTTGCCTATCCTTAGAAAGAACTTCTACAGTCTAAAGCTTTTCTTCCAATGAATGATCTTACATATTCTTCAATTAATTCAAGTGTTTAATGACCCTTACTGTTACATAATTTCTAATATGATAATTGTATATAAATAGCAATCATATATAAAAAGATATATAAGAAATTCTATATATAATTATCAATAAAATATAAATACATGAGCTTTGTATATTAGATTTTATTTGCTTATGCTAGGACAATAGGAAGCAACAGCTACTCTTAAGCTGCAAACAGTTTGAAGACTAATAATATTTTTAGGACTGAAAATGGAAGCTTTGCATCACTGAAAAAAAGACTGCTAAGAGAATAAAGGGCTTGCCTTGATCTTTCTACAGAGGACCTTTCTAATTGGGACCCTAAGCCTATTAATTACTTTTTCCTGTCTTTAACATCATGAGCTGCTGGTTTCATGGTACAAAGGAAGTCCAGTTTCCAATGAAGTCTAATAAACCATCTGTAGACTTTACTAAAATTTTCTTCTGTAAAATAACACTACAGTATTACAAGTTTTATTAGCACTTCATAACTTGCATTAACTCACTCGTTGCTTTGGTCCCTTTATTTTAGGTTATAAATATTTTATTAAAATTTTATATAAGCAAAGGAGGCAAAGCAGTGAGCTGTGTAAGTCAGCCTAGATGAATTTCAACAAAATCGTTATGAGGACAATCGTGTGGCATGGATTTTATGTACATCATATCTTTTGAGGAAAAAAGGATTTGAATGTTCTCAAACATATTTTACACTTCTGAGCGGTACTGCCACGCTAAGTTCATGCTGGTAAACAAAAAAAAAAGGTTATTTTAGATACATAAATACACGTGAATTTACATATTCAGTATAGTCCAAGCATTCAATGTTTCTCCTCCTTTCTCCTGATTTACCATATACATACAGTTTATTTTGTTCCAACTTACATTTGGTGAAATGTATTTGTCATCATAGTCCACTTCCAAGGGAACTGCAATCAGTTTTTGAAAGGCTTTTTTCATTTGCTCACCATTTCCAATAGCAAAATAACATAGGATCAAGTTGAAGCCTGCCTTCAGGTTTGGGGACATGCTCATTATATGTTCAAATGAAGAAATGGCATCAACGTATTGACCAGTTTTAATAAATGCAACTCCGATATTTTGCATTATTTTAATCCTAAGTAAAGAAATCGGGATTAGGTTACATTTTTAACTATCAAATCATACTGTATCCAAAACTTGTATTTCAGAACCATGTCTACTAGTAGAAACTCACCTCATCTCTTTGTGGACACTAGGAATCTGGTCTAGAGCCATACGGTAGAATTTGATAGCTTTGGCATAGTTCCGTTGTTTCAAATATATATTTCCCATATTCACCTTCAGTCTACCTATCAAAAGAAGTCAATGAGTTACAGCCTTTTACAGTATAGTTACAGCATTTGAAATTGTTTCAAAGTGACAGAGTAGAACAACTTCTTAATAAACTTGTCTTCATTATAGGTACCAGTGGCCCTCTAAAGAAGCACTGCACAGAACAGCCTTCTGTGAATTTTCCACTCAGAAGGAGATGAAGTAGCAATGAAACCTAGAAAAGAACTACCAATGTAAGATGTATTCTGATTTTGATTGTCAATTGAGGGATGACACAGAGATTATTTATAGTGGTCTCCAGGAAGACAGCTGCAAATAAGCATCTCTGAAAAAAGTGCACTGTAGGAGTCTCAAAGATGTGCAAAATACTGAAAGAAGCTTTCAGAAGGGGAAAGCAGAGTCAAAAGAGAAAAAAATTGTATTAGAGCAGACAATATAGTGTGCGCTGCATGAGAAAATATTTTTGGCTTTATGTTTAGCTTAGTCTATGGAAAGAAAAGACTTCATGAGTTGGGAGAGGCAAATCACATTAAGGCATACCAAGTCAGAGATTAGGAGTATCTGTCACCCACTCTGACTGGCAGACATGAGGGCTGAGATGTCTGTAAGTCAACACCATGCAGATGAAGTCCTTATTTTGAATGCCTGACTACCAGTTTTAATCCACTTTGGAATGTAACCTACCTCCATTGCTGAACATCTTATTCTTCACTATAACTTGATAAGTATTCAGTGCTTCAGCATACATTTCATTAGCAGCATACTGACTGGCCAGATTAAAAAGAACCTAAAGAAAAATGGAATTACAGGTACAAGAAAATAATATTGCTCTCTCAACAGTAATAAAATTAAATTCATAATAGATAACTGCAAATTTACCTTGGAAGTATTGCTTTTACCAGTTTTAAGCTTCCCATCTTTAATGCTCCTTTGTTCTTGTACATTGACATAGAGAAAACAAGTTTCAAATCTACTTATTCTAGGTAATTCTTTTATTTTTGTACTTAAATAATTACCATTAAAAGTCATGCTAAGTGGGCCTTAGACCTAAGTAAACACAGTATTATAATTCAAGGGTATTAAAAAAAACCATTAATGCAAGATAATTCTCAGAAACTGTGTAATTTATGACTCAAACATGTGGAAAACAGTCCTACTGCCTGCGGTCGCTCCGTTTACGAAGAGAGAATTTTTCCAAACTGCTGTTTCAAAACAGAAGTTCTGCTGGTGTCAGGTAAAACACCTCCACATTTTTTTCCCCAGCTTTACTCTGACCTTCCCTGTTAAGTAAATTACTAGGTCTGCTTAACTCAATGTATTCATTGTTAATAATTTTCTCTACAGAACTATCTGGAGTACAACTTTAAATTCCCCCTAAGTATTTTTACGTATGTTGTATCCTTTTTTTAAATAATTCTACTACTAATTTGAAAACAGAATGTGAATCTAGATACCAGCTTTTAAGATTTGGGATTTAGGAATATTAATATATCCTATTTCATGTAATGCATCCTCTGTCACTTTATGGTTCAAGTTCAAGACAGTGTCTGAGCTCTCCTGTTTTCTTCTCTTGGCAAGTTACATTTTCTAGACTATTTTTTAAGTACAGGGTTTACATCTGTTATATTTTGATATGCATGTTTTGTGATTTGGTAGCTGGAATAGATGGTTATGGGCATCCTTCTTCACTTAATGTTGACTACATGGTTTCTCAGGTACTTGAGATTGCAAGGGAATAGACTTGATGATATAAATGGATCTTTGCAACCCAATGTTAAGTTTTTAACTCCAAGAAGTCATTTGCTTTATCTTCATAAACTTCCCCCACCCCCAGACATAGACTGTATCTGATCTGGTACACTGCTAGGAGCATTACAACACACACACACACTCAGCTAATACTGAAATGTCTCTTTAGGAGGTTTGCTACCAACACCTTTCACTCACTGAAGATTTCTAAGCACTTACTGAGTAAGTGAGGTCTAAGTTGATGTTTTCTGGAGCAGCAATTTGTTCACGTTGTCTCACCAACAACTCTTTTGCCTTTTCCAGAGCCTTAAATAAAATCCTAGGATTTAGCAATGCCTTGAATCTTACTAACCCAAGACAGCAAATACATTCAAAACAAGTATGAAAAGAATATACTCATGTCCATTTTCTTTAGATGCATAGACTGTACCCAATGCCTGGAAAGTAGCAACATAACCCACAGAAAGGTGTTAATTAGCAACAAGCAGACATACAGTTAGTCTAAGTCTGCTTAGCTGTATAATTTTAGAGAAGTATAGTCACACACATATATATGCCATAATCACTTACAACCCTAGAAGATTATTCTACTTATATTAATCATAGAAAGCGCACATAAATGTTTAAAAAAGAGGGAGCATTTAGGCTTGGCATGTTTCCTTAGTTGCAGAAACCCAGTGCAGGAAGGTGCTGGATGGAAGAAAGTGAAGGCAGGAAGGAAACATGCATGTTACACAAATGTATACTCTCCATACACCTTGACTAATTCTGGATGCTGGTAAATTGCTTCCCTTTTTTATCTATCCACAAGTGGTATTTCACACGTATGTTCACAATTTGAGTAACTCCAAAATTAGTATTTTATCCAATTATGATTCTTCTGCAGATTGGTGTCAAGACCCTTCATGCAAGTAATGCTACGGGTCTACAAGTGCCATTAGCACTCCTGTATGCCTCTGCAAGGGTGCAATGGTTAAAAAAGTAATGGCTAGCACTCAAGGCAGCTATTTGGCAGCTAGCAGCTAAGGAAGTACTTCAAGACATAGCTTGATTCTCAGTCCTTATGACAGAAGGCAAACCCAGCTTGGCTGATTTATAGATAATGAGTTGGCAACTTTGATGACTTCTGCAGGAAAATGGATATTCTGCTGGACTTATCAGAAACTAACACAAACATCCTGGAAGACCCTCAGAATGGTCTGGTATAATCTACGTAAGAAACAACCCTTTGACATCAAGAAACAAAGAACATTCTTGGCCATACATGCAAGAGGCTCAAGAAAAATTAACAAAACCAGCTGGGTCATCTCCTAGTGAAGATGAACTTCAGCCATTATACCAGAAATAAATTAGGATAGGTCTGTAAGGATACTTATCCTGAATAAGTATAATAAATGGATAGACTTCTTTCATACTCTCTGATCAGCAGCTATCAGCAGCAGAAAAAAAATGTTTTATTACAAAAGTGCAATGTAAGAGGATCTTTGTCAGCTTGAAGGGTGGACCTGTCCAGTCTGAACACCAGACTTAAGCCCTAATTTGGGACTCAGAGTTTCACTGATAGAAGCCTTCTTGTTAACTCCCCAAGGAAGTAAACTCTCTACAGTGTGGGCTGCTAGGCAAAGATATGCTAAGTGAAATCCCTCTCTCCGAAGGAGCTATCAGGCTATTAGCTCAACAGATAATCCAAAAATCATTGGAAAGGAGTATAACTGAGGTAGGCCAGGATTCCAGATTGTTGTCCTAGTAGGCACAAGCATAAAGGCAGTCCTCACACAGTACAATATCATCCTGATATCAGAACTGTCGAGGCTGACCTACCATAATCAAGATCATCAATGCTTGATCTTGTCTTAATTTGATCAGGATCACTGGAATTGCTGCACAAACTGAAGAAAGGCATATACCAAGCCTTTTGACCAGAGAAACAAAAATGCATTCAGAGAGCTGGGACAGCTCTTTTCTCAAAAGCGACAGATACAATGCTTCTTTGTAGTAGGCAAAAAAGATATGGGATGTTACGCATCCTGAAAGACAGTCCTCAAGACAACTGAAATCTTCCAGTCGTAGTCTAATAGGGTAAACGTCCTATTCCGTATTTGAAAATACTCACAATACATGAGATATAAAATCATTGACAAAAGTACATTCTTGCTGTACTGCTTCCAAAGGTAAACTGCTGTCTTAAAGAGAGGAGGAAACCTCAAACTAAGTATGCTTCTTAATGAAACGCTGGTTATTTCTCTACAAACAAAAGGGTAGATCCTGCCACTGTAACATGAAATATCTCACCTACAGGAGGCCTGTAACATGCAAATAAAGGATTACTACTTAAGAAATCTGCCTAGTATAGATAAGACTTAAGGATAACATATGCAGTCTGATAAGAAGCATCACATAGGCACACAATATCACCTTGCATAAAAGAGCTAAGGAGGCCTTCACCATATATTGTCCGGTGCTCTGCACACGAAGTCCCTTCAATATAAGGAAGTCCTCACTGTCACTGGGCCCAGCGTGGCTCCCAAGAGCTGAATCAATTGTAGACCTCAACGCAAAGACAGACTTCTGAACAAAGATGATCTATCAAAAGACGGACTGCATGCTTCTTAACAGATCCAAACTGCAGCTAAGACTAACCCCTACATTGAAACAGCTGAGGTAAGATTAAATGACACTGTATCCACTATGTTTCACAAGACCTATTTGAAACTGTCTGAATCAGAGTGTGGACAGAAAAATATTCATGGGTGTCAAACAAAAAGACAACTTTTAGTGAAAGTGCTAACTTGTCCAAACAGCTTGAACTCACTAATTCCTTCTATACTAGATGGAAATCAAATGGGCTATAGCCTGTTATTTAGCCACTACTAACTAGCACGATATTGCTCTAGTACCCTCTACAACAGATAAATACATCCAAACTGCCTATTGGAAATAGTTCCTTATCCACAGTAATCTTCAACCCTATCGAGGAACTGTTTAGAAAAATGCTAGTTAGGCTGGGCCAAAACTGTGCCAGTAACCATGCTAACAATTTACAAACTTGTTGATTGATTCACAGATATAGACATTGTGTATAGTGGACAAACGGTGCCATTTTCCCAATTTGTAGCAAGGCTCAGACCATTACAGACCATCTGCAATCTTTGTAATGAATTTTGGAGCCCTTAGTCTTCAAAACATGAGAATTTAATCAAACCAAAGGCCATCTAGCCTAGGAACTGTATCAGACAGTATTAAGCAACTCAGGAAAGATGCTTTACCCACTCTTACACTCTAACAAGACCTCCTCAGAATACACTCCTAAACTAAAAAATTTTGCAGCTCAGATAACTAAGAAACATCATCTCTCATAGCTCTAGTTAATTTTTTCCCCCTTAGGGATCAGATGCCATCAACTTGAGAGGGCAATGGATGAGCACAAAGGAAATATACACTCCAAAGAACCCAATGTATCTCATTAATTCTAATAGTTGAGCCTGCTCTGCCTCCAGTAGTCTAGGAGCTGGAGCTGGCCAGTCCAAAGCATATGGAATAAAACATAAGCCTGGTCCTAAGAAGGATGAGTTAGAGGCAATTTTGATACACTGGAACCAAACACTAATGTGCTTTATTGCCACTGTCCTATGAAGGATACTGGTGTTTGCACTTTAGGGTTTGCTATACCTTAGAAGGTTCCCTTGTCTGAAGGACGGAAAGAAGATAAAATAGTTCATCTTGATGCTGACCCCTTATGGTGCAACAAAAGCAACATGGAAGGGTACTGTGGAGGTGGCTTAAGTGAGATTGATCTGGTGCTGAGCACCAGTCCTGGATGAAAATTACATTATCCAAAAAGCCCAAGCAACATCAAGGAAATGGGATATCACTCGGACAAGATCCTTACACATCTGAGGATCAAATGCTGCAAAGATGCCAATTACAAGCCTGGTATCGAAGAAGGGTCACCTACTCCCATAGACTCCATAGGTTAGACTGGGCAAATCTGTGCCAGTATCACTAATTGATCAGACCCATTTGAAGCAGCCAATGGAGATATGGGGAAGGGAGTTTTTGTAACACCAAAATCTTATCAAATATATATGCAAGAAATACAGCTCCTACCCATTTTTTTGGCAATACAGGGTGTGACTGGATTAGAACAGCCATAAGAAAGTTAGAATTAAGATGATTTTAATAATTTGAAATGTTTGAACCCAAGTCAGTTTGAAACATCTATCTATACAAATTGTTCTTCACATAAAAGCAAAAGTGAAGTGAAATCCAGAAAAATTACCAATTTCAAGTCTCCACAGCTGTTGGCAATGCAGCTTTCTTCAACCAGTTCATTCACTTTTTTTTCCAACTGCCTAATCTTCTCTTCTGAACTAAAATAAAAATAACAAAAAAAGGATTAACACTAGTAACATAACTGCGAACACTAAGGTTTTACACAGGATATTTTCAATAAAATGACACAGTGATATATCACGTCACAACTAACTGTTTTTTCCATCAAAGAAAATGCAACGTGAAACTATGCCCAGAGAAGATCCTCCAAAGATAACATATTCACACTTTTAATTTGAGAGCAGAGACCTAAGAAAACATAAATCCCCTTATGAGAACAAGACAGACATGCAAATTTCATGGACCCAATTTGTTCAGGAGGAGTAATGACAGAACAGATGGGCTGGCAAAACTTTCAAACCAAGCACCTAGTAAAATGAAATATTGTATTAAAAGCAATTAATTGAACCTTTATTTGCGTAGATAACTTTGAAGTATAGCTTACAAATGCAGATTTTAATAAAAAGTTGTTATTAATCTAGATTTTTTCCTCAGGTAAATAATGAAACATTTCAGTAGGATTCCCTATTCCTGTATAGCTATATTTGAGGAATGCAACTTTTGTATTGAAGAACTCAATGACTTGTTCTGAGTGAACTCCCCAACATTCACACCAACCTGCAAAACTTCTACAACCTCAGTTTTGCCTCAAGAGCTAAGGTCAGAGTGAACAGGGAGAAACAGCAGGCACATTCCCCCAAGTTCCTCCCAGACAGCTGCATGGATCATGGTGTTCCTTGCCTGTCACACACCCTTCCATAATCCTCCACAATTCTATATAAGTATCACAGCATTTGTGTGGCAACAACTACGTCCAGGCTGCTGAGCTACAGTCAGACCCAGAAATCACTAAAAGCAGACATTCCTGAAAGTCAGTGCAACTGCTCTGGTGAGTCAGCTAACCACACACATAAATGCTTGTGGCAGTATTCCACAAAGTGAAGAGTTCATCCCCTCAAGGTTTCATAACTGCCTGGATGTTTTTAAACTCTACCCATAGCTGTTTTTTTTGTTGCTGTTAATGCTTTTAAATAATTTGATGCAAAACTGAACAAACCTGTCTGAATTTTTCATTTCCAGGGGTGGAGCAGGACCTCTTGCTTGGCCAAGAGGATCAAATGAAGAACCTGCAAAATTCAGAGTACTGAAAATTGTAAAATAACATCTCCCTCTAGCAGCTGGTGATTTCTACAAACTGTACCTCTCATAGCTGCCTTAGTGTAACCTGCAGCATGCACTGCTGTCATTGGCCGAGCAACCCCATCCTTAAACAAAAAGGAAGACATATTAAAATAATGTTCCTAAAAAATAGACTGTGGACAGTACGGACATCAGTTACATATTACAAAACCTTTAAATACAAAAAATCAGTTGTTACCACCTCAGTAAACTGAGTATTTTTTAAAATGTTCTTATTTCTCAGATATTGTACATCTTAACTGTCTACAAAGTAGAGGAGCAAACACTATTGGGAAACTGTAACTGACACAAAGGAACACTTACTACTTTGTGTAGATTTTATATGTATTCAGAATACTTAGTTTCAAACCTTTTATTTTTAGAAAATTCTTCAAAATTGTTGGTCTTGAGATCTGTAATGTACTCTAGCTTATTGTCAGACTATTTCAGAACTCAGTTGCTTTTTCAATTTTTATTGACAATAGAGAGAATCCAATGAGATTATGGATCAGAGTGTTTTACTTGATCTAAACCAAGAGAGGCACAAACAAACTACAATTTTTTTCTGTTTGTAACTTATTACCATACAATGCCTTCCAACACAAGAATGTCTGACCCCACCCCATGCCAGCTTATTAAACTTCCCTGTCAGGACACTGAGTGCCCTAATAAACCTTAATGGCCCTGACCAGACTCACCTGGGGTCTCCAGCCACACACCCTACCCATGGACCCAGGAGCTTTATTTAAGCTCAGCCCTGGTCCCTCAGCCCTTCCCTGAGCTTTGCTGGAGAACTACTGGTTTCCAAATCAGCCACAGCTATGCCTGGCCACAGAGTCCCTTGATCCAGATTTCAACCCATGGACTGACTTCCTGGATTGATCTTAGCCTTGCCTTGTCGCTATTGACCTGGCCCATGATCATGGGTCCTAACCCTGGCCTATGCATTGACTTTGTGGCTTGACCTTGGACCTGCCTCATCACCACGATATCGCCTTATGTTCTGAACTTTTGGTTGGACATGGCCACCATGTCTGGGTGGATCCTACTTGCCTTGCTCAGTTATTGTGGGACTTGGTCCCAGCTGGTGAGGTCCCTGCACTGCTGGCCATGTGATTTTCCTCTAGACTCCTGGCTTGCCTTCCCTTAGGGAGCAGCCCTACTCTTGATGCTCCCTGATAATTCCTGTTTCCCACCTGGGCTGACACAAAAGAATATAGTGGCTATAGATATATTTAACATTAAGTTAATATACTTAAGGGTGGTGGTGGGAAAGTCATTGGTGAATTGCAGCAGATTCTTGTTAGAGTATAAGTACAGAAGGAAAACATGAAGGCCAGAATCTACCCCTCTCCTGTTTCAATGAAAAATTATTCATTGCATGTCAGTAAGTGTTAACAAGCACTACACTGGTATTGCTTCCAACCCTGTGCTCAAACAAAATACTCATCACAATCCTCAGGCTTTCTGACAGTAGTATTTTCAAAAAAGGACAAATTAAAACAGTAATAATTTGTATTATTTCAATGAACTTTAAATACTTGTATCAAACTTACCAGAAAACATCAGTGTTCCAAATCAATATAAAATGTAAGCATTTAAACTTTTACCTGTATAGCTCCTGTCATTGGTCTTCCCATAGATGAAGTTAAAGTTGCCTTTGACTACAAAAGTAAGTAAATAGTTTGAAACTAGCATTCACAAAGCATTAGAAGCCTGTAAAGGCTACATACAGTCTTCTCAACAGTGACTTCTAAGAGTTGATCTAATTCTCACATAAGTTCATGGCAAAATTCCCATTTATGTTATTCATATGCAATATAATTGCATATTATATTGCAGACTTAAAGGTGCTGAACACTTCAGTTAGCACAAATTCACAATATTGTTTTTTATGTATTCGGATATTTCTGTCAGACCTTTTAAAAAAAATTACACAGAAATTTATCTGAGGCAGCAGTACTTTCCATTATTAAAGTATTGAAATTACTACCCTTAAATTGAACAAATACTTCAGTAAGATTCTGCGTAGAGCTGATAAGAGATTAATATAGGGGCAGATTTTGAGTTATACTTTCATGAAGATTTCTTTTACAATAAATACAGATATACTTTGAAACTGCCAATGGGTATCTTTGTCCTTCTATAGTAGTCTTAAAAAAGTAAAGAAACAAATGTGAAATATTTAGCAGTAAGTGCTAAAGGTTGCTACAGATATACAATACAAACAGACAAAAATAAAGGGTTTCAGGCCACGAAAAAGTATTCCCCTAATTCCCACTCAGAGGCCTATGTTTTACTATTTTACCCATTATCCATCACACATTGACTCTGTTTTTTGTTTTTTTCTGCTAAGGCTGAATCTACATTAACAAGGACTGTAGTGTAGGAGAAGCAAATCTGCAGAGTGAAACAGGTAGTACTGTGGACTGGACAATGCTTTGGAGGTTTCTAGCTCTACTAATGCAGGTAAACACTTCAGTCTATTATCCTTAGGAAGTGCCTTTTTGTGCACTCCTTCAACCAGATAGCTTCTCCCATTACAGCGTGGTACTACAATAAACATCTGCAAATACAACTGCTAGGAAAAAGCAGTCTCAAAAGAAATATATCCAGAGCAGGTAACAGAAGGTTCAGGGTAAAGGCTGTATTTCAGTAACTTAGATTTCAGGCGTTCTTGAAATTGTTACCCAGCTAACTTGCGTTAAGAGATCTAAAGCAGTGTGATCTCCCTTTTTTATTTGTCATAAAACCTACAGTAACTTTGTATTGAAGAGTACCATCTTTTCAAATTTGACTGTGACAGGCTAACAGGTTGAAAATTATTGTGATAAGGGGACATAAAAGTGGATACATAACTAGTGCATAACTTCTGTTTCTGCAGCAAAACAGGTTTAAGTGTTACTTATTTAAGAGTTACAATGGGTTAAGTATACCAAAAAATATAATCAACTTTTTCTGATTAAACTAGAGGTGATTCGAAAGCCCGTATTTTTTAAGACTTAATTTCACCTTAACTTTCAGAAAACTTTCCCAAGCTCAAATAACTACCCATCCAGTTCCCCCTGCAAGAAAATCAGGTTAATACCTTGGAATCTACTGCCTTATGCAGTACATAACTTGATTTGCAGTATGGTTTGGGAGAAAAAAAAAAAAATCAGTAACCATGCCTTGACCAAGTGCAGAGTTGTGAATGAATTAAAATTAATGAATACATGTAGTTCACTGGATGGAAACACTTAGATAAAAAGAGCTCACTTTGCACAAGGAATTAAATGGTAAATTTATTTTTTGGTAAATACCTCATTTTCATTAATAACAGAACAAAAACCTACCCCAAATCCAGTAGCTAAAGGTCTTGAAGCTGATGTACCAGGAATTTTGGCTGTCACCTGGAGAAAAAAAGAACAAACAAACAACAGAACACTCCCCCCCCACATTAACATCCATATGTATTAATTATTAGTCTTTATGTAGTTTCTATAGCAAATTCATAGAAATAATGCTTTAATTGTTATAGAAAGAATTCTTATTGTAGAACCAGATTATTCTGGCAAAGAAATAACATTAATCAGACAGTTCCAGCTCTTCTTTAGACATACAATATGCACTTCTAAAGTGCAGGTGCCAACTTTTATATCAGTTTTCAAAACTAAATATAGATTAAGTCACAGCTAAATGAAAGTAAGAAAATTAATGTGAATTACATGAATATGGAGGGAAAAATTATCAGAACACATGGTTTTCTAAATCCCACTGCCTAGTATGCATCTCAACCTTGTAATTGCATGTCAGAGCCAGTAATTCTATGTATAGAATATTAAACACAGTCCTTCCAGAATATAACATTTTGCTCTTTAACAAGGTTTTATCTCATTTTATCAAACAAGAATACACATCTCCAACCGAAGTTCCTTGTTTGCTCTAGCTTAGCTCCAGAACTTAATGGAACTCGTGCTCTGCTAATTTTTTTTATTTATTTTTCATACAAGTAACTGAAGTCTCCATCTTCATGTTAGCAGTAGACAAAAAAAAAAAAAAGAAAAAAAAAGATAAGAGACTCCCAAGATAAGTTTGTACCAGTGCCAAAATTAGAGCTAGGGCTCTAGAAAACGTCTACACTATTGCAATGTATTTTAAAAGGTACTTACAGGGGGTCTTCTACCATGACTTGTTCTTGCTGCCTGTTGAAAAGCTACATCATTTTCTAAATCCTAGAAAAGATAAAATAAAAATATCAACCCCTTTAAAACCATAACACCTAAAGCCACAATTCCAGAACCTTATGACTACAGAAAGCAGATAAGTAGAAAAACAATTGTTCTTTCAAAAATACTTGACTTGAAGATAACCAAATGATAGGTTTTAGTGACAATAAATAACAATTATATGATTTGGTCTATCTTTTGTGGTAGTGTAGATTAGAAAATGTAAAAACTCATTATTTGCTGAAAAATAAAAACACACTGAGGAAGCAGAGCTTAAGTGATAAAATATAACATGAAATTTTATTTCCCTCCAAAAGCTTACTACTAGCACTATTTCTAAATTTTAACATGAATGCCTGTCATGCCAATACATTACAATATCTCATGTCTCTAAGGTCACACTGCAACTCCCATGAATTCAGCACTGGGATTTCACACAAGATACCAAGTTTTGCAATACTGGCCTTGCTTTGAGCAGAGTAGTGGGTTTGGACCAAATGACACCCCTGTTCCAATTCCACTATGCCAGCAGTTACCAGGAAGCAGTCTGCAGGGCTACCATAAGTCATCCCAGATGCTCTACCGATTGCACAGAGACCTGCAGGACTCTACTGTTATCTCCTTCAGCTGCAGCATAGTAACAGATCAATGACTGGTTGACCAATTGTCCTGGTTTCAGCCAGGATAGAGTTAATTTTCTTCCTAGTAGCTGGCATAGTGCTGTGGTTTGGATTTAGTAGGAGAAGAATGTTGATAACACACTAATGTTTTAGTTGTTGCAAAGTACTGCTTATGCTAGTCAAGGACTTTTCAGCTTCCCATGCTCTGCCAGGTGCACAAGAAACTGGGAGGGGGCACAACCACAATAGTTGATCCAAACTGGCCAAAGGGCTATTCCATACCATATGATGCCATGCTCAGTATATAAACAGGGGGAAGCTGGCCAGGGGGCAGCGATCGCTGCTCAGGGACTGGCTGGGCATCGGTCGGTGAACGATTGCATTGTGCATCACTTGCTTTGTATATTATTATTACTATTATTATTATAGTTGTTATTATCATTACTATTTTACTTTATTTCAATTATTAAACTGTTCTTATCTCAACCCAGGAGTTTTTCTCACTTACTCCTCTGATTCTCTCCCCGATCCCATTGGGGTAGGGGGAGTGAGCAAGCGGCTGCGTGGTGCTTAGTTGCTGGCTGGGGCTAAACCATGACACCAGCAAGTAGCCTCTTTTGTCAGAAAACGTCCTGCTGCACACCATCTGGGAAACACCACACTGAATGTGCCTGAATGTGAATATGGCCTTCAAATAACTATGAATTTATACTTTGTAAATTCTAACCATTAAAGCATATTAGATCTGCTATGAGATACACACAAGTATTTTGCTGGAATAGAAAACTATCAAAAAAATAACTATTCAAAAAGCTCCTGGTGAAACTTTATCTATTTCTTGCAAAATAAAGAAAATTTAATGTCAAAGCAGTAGTACACAATACTGTACCCACATGTTCTTATCTTGTACTTAGAAGTTAAAATCCTATGTATGGGAAAGGTGGTAAACACCAAAGATTTTTACCTCTGTGTCAAACGTGGGATTATAATCATTGTAGCCAGAATAAAGGTCATCTTCATCGGCCTCAGCAGCCAGATGCACATTTTGCATCATTTTTCTGTGAAACATTTAACATGCCAAATATTATCTCGGTGATTTTAAATATATATATCTCTTTAAAAGTGTAAAATATAAATAGTAGTAAGGTTTACAAGTTCAAAAGAGCTCCATTTTCATTTTAGTTTTTAATTGCTGCCTTTGAAATTAAAAATAAGCTATGATTAGTCATAAAAACTACAGTTCATCTATAAACAGTATTAAATGGCACCATTTCACAGATTCAGATTTTGTTAGGTATTTACACCACTGTCATGGAAATTGTTTTAAAGATATTTATCATTAAAACCAAATGATCATAACAAGTAACTGTACTACTTTCAAGCTGGTAGCTTTACATTCTCAGATAATTCAGATTTAATATAATTTTCTCATATTCTGAAGTCTGCTTTTTTTAATTAGACCAAACCATAGTAGTCAGTCTAATGAAAGATCTGTTCTAGCTTCAAATCTTCCTTCCTTCCCGTCTTTATCTCAACACAGCCACACCTATTCTCTATATGCAACATTCTTCATAAAATTTTGCCATTTCAATTCAAGCAGTTTTTAAAAACTAGAATTAAAGAAGCCTGGGTTCCAATGTCGTTCTTCACAAACACTTTAGTGTCCAATACGGCCGCATTCACCTTGTGGTCTTTCCCTCACCGAGGACACCACGGAGGTCTCTCTTTGCCTGGCCACCTATTTAATAAAAATCTTCAGAAACATTTGATTTCAGCTAGAAGATGAAATACATGCACTTTAGCAAGTAAGCCTGAGCCAGAACACCGCCCTGCACACCCCACTGAGGGCCGCTTCCTCTCCAGCGAGATGCCCG